TCACATTAAATAACATCCCCTAAGTAATGATCGTATCTCCCAAAACACACATTTTATGCTGCACGTTTCATGCTCTTCCAACATTGTTGATGCTAACCATAGTGCTACAAAACCATAATAAAGAAGAACCATAATAAAGAAGTTAAATTTGTCAATTTTGTAATGTTATTGAATTACAACAAAGAAAGTATCAAAACTCAAAAGATCACACTTACCATTCATCATTAAAAATGGTAGTACGTGTGATTGGTAAATTATCAGGGTCTCTAAACCTATTTGCCAACAATCAACAATCAACCGACCAAAGCATCGACCAAAACATATTGAGATATTCATATTCAGTATTTACTTTTACTTACCTTGCAACCACTTCATAATTTCTTGGAGTCGAGAAATTCCAGATAACAATCTCTCCTGCATTGTTCCCTAATTACCAAAACCAAAACCAAAATGATATCTTGCTAAAAAATGCATAGATAAATAAGAACTAAATATTGCATTATCTATATCTTACTCACTGCAAGTGTCCAATAGTAGTTAGTCTCAAATTTTGACGAGGTGACAAATATTGTAGGAAATGTTTCTCTACGATTGCGATTCTCTTCCTCTCCGAGTCCAAAATAATTTAACACAATCAACTCATTAGTGGGCATCTACAAAACAAGAACATACATTGTATTAGAAAATTACCTAATAGAAATAATACTCGAATTTGTAGGAAAGTAAGGTAAAATATACTAACACGTGTTAAAATAGCATGATCGAGAATGTTGATCCAAGATATCGAGCTGAAGAAGCTGTCTGGTTGACGAGCTGGGTCTCAGCTACGACCTGAGACCTGGTCTGAGCTAGGAAATGAAACAAGAAAACGGAATCAAGAGAGCTAATGTTAGGGAACTTGTAGTGGAGCTTCTTAGCTCTTGTAAAAAATGAATGAATATGTTTCTTAATAGGGTGCCTTCTTTATTTATAGAGAAAGTGAAACATTAACCATAGTTTGATTTAAACCCTAGTTTCTTTTGGTGAGTTTACTTTTGGCTCAACTTCATGGGCTTTAGAAGTTAATAGATTTCATCAATTGATCTCAATTTGGGAAGGACTTTAAATAAGGGTGTTCAACCCATATCCAACAGAGATAACGAAGAAAATCCAGATTGGAGTCTAGAAGTAATTATGGTCATAAACCGTACTGTGATTAAAACAACATAAGTTTAGTTTTCAAAAATATGAAATATTTGTAAGACAAACACCGAAACAATATGCTTCCTGGAGACATATCTCTGGTAATTCTCCTCTTCGCTAACCATCCATTTATCCAAGCTTTCTCTGATAAACATAAAATCCAAAAGTAAGAACTTAGAAACCAAGCAAAATAAATATCAAAGTTAGCTAGTGTTTCACCTTCCATATACCACATACTTACACCTCTTTCTTCCCCGCAACTTAAGATATAAAACTTATTATTCAGATAAAAATCTTGAAAGTACAAAGAAAAATTATGTAAACAAATTATAATCTAATTAAACTATATAATTACCGCAGAAGAAACTGGTGGTGGGACATGTGAGAATCCTTCATCTAAATCAACCCTCTGAATGCATATACCAGTTCTAATACTCCATATGCGAATAGATTCCTAAAATGTTTCACGGTTAGTATAAACAAAAAAGATAAAATTGTAAAAGAATTATTTACCACGCTTGCACTACAAACAAGTGAACTCACATTCCTACGAGATTTTATATCAGTAACTCTATGAATATGTCCTTGCAAACTCTAGAAATTGATAAAACAAGATTTGATGTCACTCCAAACTCTTGAAATTGATAAAACAAGATTTTATGTCACTCTAAAATCAGTTTGTCTATTTTTGCGGTGTTTTTTTTTTGAGAAATTTAAAAAAATGCCATTTTTCAAATGTCATTTTACAAAAATGCCACACTTTTAAAATTTTTACAAAAATGCCACTTTTTCAAAATTATTTTTTCGGTTAACTATGTTCTAGTAGGGTTTAGTTATGAAGATTTAGGGGGTTTAGGGATCAAAACATTTTTTAGTGTTTATAATTTTAAGATATAGGGTTTAAAAATCTATAATTAGTGGCATTTTTGCAAAGGAACACCCCTAAGTGACATTTTTGCAAATGTGCACATAAAAAGTGGTATTTTTGCAATTTCTCATTTATTTTTTAAGTTTTTGGAAATTATTATTTTAAGGATTTAAAATAAATAAATAATATAATCTTTTTGAATTTATGGAATACTACTAACTTTTCTTTGACCATTTATAAAAAATATTAAATTAGGATGAATATAAGGTAAATGAAAAAAATTAGAAATTTATCTATGACTAAAAAATTAAATTAATTAATACTGAATTCAAGTTTTATTTATTTATTATGAGAAAAATATTATAGGTAGATAAATTCCTTTAATAGTTTAAATAATGTAATAAAATCTTATTTATTATGGTAAATCTCTTTCCTAATACAATAAATCTTTACAATTTACAATCATCAATGGAAAACAATTCATCAAATTTCCAAATTTACTGAACATTTAATTAATTAATTTATATTTTTTGATATGCAACCAAAATTTATCAGGAACATAATTTTGTAACATTTCTCTTCTCTTTCACCATTAATACCAAAAAGATAAAATAAAAAAGATCATTTTAGATGCACAGTATAATATCAAATCAAACCAAAGAATTACATAGTGTAGCTAATAAACAAAGTTTTTTTCTATCTAGATCGACTGACTAGTTTACTATATTATCAAATCAAGGAAAAAGGCCCAACGTTTACAAAGAAGGACTCCATGCTTTCGATGTTAACAATTCACACCCCCTAATTTTCTTGATTCGTCAACAAGACCATCTCTCTCGTCTGAAGCTTGATCACCTACACTCTAAAAATGTGGAGGAGACAAATTTGACGGGTATAATTAACTGTTAACTAGATTAAGCAACAAGGATCACACTGCATATGCAGTCAAAAGTCGAAACGCTAGACGATCAATTGGAGAATTCACCATTTTCCGCGGATGAGATGATTGAATTACGGCATAATATCCAGTACTCTCTCAATGGAATATGCCTCCATGGCCTTGGAGGAGGGAGATCAAGGCCCAGTTTTGATGGCATTCTGAATAGAAAACAGAAGGTAAATGAAACAAAAACAGAGGTATCGAGAGACGGGGTGAAATTTATGATCAAGATCATATAAATTCACCTTTTACCACTGAGGACTCCGCGAGCTGATGTAATCAGAGAAGAAGCTGATATTCCTGAAAATATTGTTGTATAATGCGGTAAAAGAATCTGTCCTGCAATATGTTCATATAATGTCAGCAAAAGTTACACACAAACACAAGCATAACATAGTATCCAGATTAACTCGTCATTGACTTAAAAAACAGGCAGAGGTTTACCCATGCTTAGAAAATTGCTGCGGAGATTGGAAACCATTAGAGATGATTTCTTCTCAGGAATAACATGTTCTTCTCGTAGACTTTTGGATACTGTACTGCTTCTGTCTTCAAAACCATCATTCAAAGAATTGAGGACATTATCTCCACTGTATTCAATTTCAAACCACACACCAGAAGGGAATCTTTTACGCCTGACAAGCCAAATCATAATCTCGGCATATGGTGTTGCATGGATGACAGAGATGGCGAATTCAATCAGCATACATATGGAGTTGATTGTCGTGCTCGTAATGGTAAAAAAGATGTAGAAAACTGAGGTTGTTGGCAAGAGAAGCAGCAGTGGAGTGAACAGAAGAGATCCCACTACATGTTGCTTCACAGTGTAACCATAGCTGTCCAATCTTTGACGTAGAGGATTCAATTTTCGCCCTCTGAAAGAACAAAGTAGAATTCAAGGTAAGGTTTAAGGATTCAAGGTGAGGTTCACCAGTTAAGAAGATAGAACAATGCATAATATTTCCCTTGGATATTGCATGTCTCCTGCACATACATTTAAGAACCCAAGAAACCAATTCACCAGAATACTAATTATCAGCTTAGTCAATAAACTCAGCTAATTGAATACTCAAATTTACCTGAAAAGCCTCCACAAAGCTGCTAAGGCTTGAATTTGGTGAGAGTACACAAGTGTGATTGCCCAATGAAGAGCCGTTATATGAAGTGTTGCAAAAGTAATTACATCTATGACAAATGCAGCAGACACTGTTGCACCAAAAGTAATTCCCAATATGGCAATTGCTCTTATCAAATAAAATATGAAAGAAGCCATGAAGAACCAGAGAGTAGACCATATCTGGATTACATTAAGAGATACCATGCCTAAAACTCCAGCCAATTCTGTGTTTAACTTAAAACCTGCTGGGACTCCCATCAGCCACACACAACCGGATCGCAGAATATCATTCGTAAACCCCTTTGCAAATTTGAATATCCACGAGCAGACAGATCCGATGTTAAACAATAGACCTAGACCAATCAAGTTCCCCAAAACAAGATCAACAGCCATGGCCGACCACGTAGAATGTCTTTGCAGTGCAGCTTTCTCTGCATGTTCTACACAAGATATGGACCTAGTGAAACCCAGAAGAATTGTCATAAATCGATAAGCATATACACAAAATCATGACTAAATCAGAGACACGTAAGATGCAATGATCTATGTTACGACGTGAGCAGAAAATCTAAAACAGAAAAGCTTTACAAATCTAAAGAAGCAAATTTGGGCATCTGGTTGAACTTACGTCATGTCATTCTCTTGAATGAAGATTGGCCAATATAAGATCTGACAACTGCGAACTCTGAAGTTAATCCATGTATTCTTGAGTACTCTCCTTGATGCTATATGTACCCATGAGAAAATTTGAAAACTTGGAAGTACGTAGAAGAACTGGATAAAGCTATAATATAGGCTTGATAAAGAGCCTAAAATTGTGGCGAGTAACCACCACGTCAAAGAAGAGATCCTAAAAAAGCAAGATGCAAGCAGTTAGAACAACTAACAACAACAAAGATAAAGGAAGAACCGAACAAGAACAATAAAATTTCACGAAAGCTTACAAGTAACTAATGGAGAACTTCCGAGAAGACTTCACCAGCTGCATCGATATCTTCTTATAAGCAATCTTTGCAGCCGAGGCGCAGTTTATGGAAAGAATCACAGTTTCCTGCTTACATAAGAATAAGAGAATATTAGCAACAAGTCGAGAAAGTAACAGCAAAACAAAGAGAAGCCTTTTTGGAAACTACTCAACCATTTCATTCAAAGGTTGCCTCTTGTGAAGATCATCAACCCACTTGGGTTTCTTAAGAGGAGCTTTTGTCTGAGGAGAAAAATTCCAAAAGCTTAACGAGAAATGGTGAGAACCAAACACCGGAGTGTCATAGAGTATAACCTGACATGTCCATACTCATAACGAGTCAAATACTGCAATGTATAGATTCAGATACAGAACAATACAGGAGAAAGACATCATGACTTACATACGTGTACATCACACTGAGACACAATCTCCCCATTCCAATGTATATGATGCAACCTAAAACTCGAATCGAATTCCATAACCGAAGAATCGTGCACCATATGAATCCAGTGACTGCTCACAGAATCAGTCCTGAAACCCTCTAATAAGCCATCGACCTTATGACAACAACCACATCTCAAGCTACCACAAGCTCTGGCTTTACTTGTAATCTTAGATGAGTTTCCATTAGCATTAAGGCATATACCATAACGACCAAGAAGCGTAAACGTTGCCTTATCTCGCAAAGATGAAGGCATCTTCTCGTTTGTTTCATGAAGTAGGTCCTGTAAGAAAAAACCACAAAGGAAAAATGTCGCATACACAGTTTATCAAAATGCAGGAAGGAAACAAACAAGGGTAGGTACAAATTCGTGAAACAAGAAAGGAAAAAAAAGGGTAAAATTTATTACTTTGAGGCGCATAGATCCGCCATTGGAGAAGGAGCTTTCCTCGGAGAGGAAGGCTACAACAACGTCGAGACAAGAAGAGGAATGGCATACGAACCACCCAAACAATAGAGATTGAGTCAAATCATCGGTTGATGCAAATTGCTTAGGAAACCAAATCCTACACTTTCTCTTCATCTGAAGCTTTCTCTTGCTTACAATTACCAAAAGCCCTAGAAAAATTCCAGAAACCCAACAAAATCCAATTCTTTGATCGATAGCTACGGAGAATAATTCAAAACCCAACAAAAATCCACGAATTTGAGGGGGAATTTCGGATTTTTCCGGGAGGAAGGGCGATCTCCGGCACAGACACAGATTTGATGCGCATTTGCAATTAGATCGAATCGAGTGATTATGTCACATTTGCAAATGAGAAAAACGACGACGTTTTGATATCAAAAGGTTTTAAAATCTTTTTCCTTTCATGTAATAGAATTCAAACTCAAAACATACCTTTTGATAATAAAGTAAACCTACCAGTCCAACCTTTGCAGAAGCTGCAATCCACTGAACATTTGATGAATTTATCAAGCTTTTGAGTGGCGGCTTGTACAAGAGTGTCATTAGGTACCGTGTCCATGATAACCAGGTCACCAAGCAGCAAATTGAGGTGTGGGAATATACAGTGTGCCAGATTCAATATCACGTGGTTTTTGAGACCATTGATTAGCGATAAAGCTCCTGCATCCGCAACGAAAGAGCATCGCAAACTCAACCTCTTGAGCTTTCTTGAAGCACCGCACGATTTGCTCAGCATAGTATTTATCCAAATAACCAAAATATTTCAAGTGGGTGAGGTTAGTGCAGTTCTCTCCCACGGTTTCAGACTCGAATTCCCAATTGTCATCATAAGCGATGATCAGTGTTTTCAGATTCTTCCATTGACTGAACGCAAATCGAAATGACTTCTCCGTTTGATAGCACCCGTGCGATAAAAGGTGAATTGTCTCAGGCAAAACCTAGAGGTCGCTCTTTTATTTAGCAAGAAAAAGTATACAGATGCATGTCGCGCCAAGCAATTCTGTTTTTTTTCTTATGATTCATTTAACTCTTAGCAGCAAACATGAGATCCTTCTCTTTTATATAAGAATCAAATTCTTCGGCAAAGTACCGCTAAAGTTTGTGATCTCAATCAGTAGTTTCCTCAGACTTGTGCCTTTCTCTACTTCACCTTGCATACATGAGCAAAAGTTAATCATCTTCTTAACCAAAACATTCCTAAAGCTTGGGCGGACTTCTTCTACTTCATCGTCCACTCGGTGATTGTACAAGACGACTGTTTTCCACCAGGGGCTGTAAGAGAAGACTACTAGTTGGAGCTTAGCGAGATTAACAGTTTGCCACAGAGTTTTGTCGTGAGAGGCAAGGAACCAAGAGATGCAGACGCGTGAAGCTCCCATGGTAAGATCCATTACGTCGAGCTTATTGAAGATAGCGACAAGTATGTCTTTGTTCATAGTTTCCCATTTTGAAATTTCTTTTGAGTTGTATGCTTTCTCCATCTTCGCGTTACACCTACATACAACAGACAGACAAAAAAAAAAGTTGATATGATACTGAGGAAATCTCAAATATTATAAACAAAACATGAATATGAAATTCAACTAAAGATTGAAAATATCTTCACTTTTTGCATGACTTACTGATTCTTAGGGCTTAGTTCCAGAGATTTTACAAACATTCCAAGTCTATGATCTTAGGG